AAATGAAAAAGAAACTAAATTATTAAAAAAAAGAACATTATGCTGAGGGAAATAAATTAGTCATGCAAAGACAAATACTAAAAAAAAAAAAAAGAGTTGGCTGTTAATAGGAAACGACCGATTGTTTGAATTCATCAGGGGCTTTGTGGCAGAAAGATGTGGCAGTCTGTTTCCTTAAGGAGTACAGCTTTGGAAACCATAGAGACAGTCCTATTCTCCCTACAGAGTCACTAGGAGGTGGAATATACTTGGGCTGCTGCTAGAAATGCCAATGGTTTGAATCCACTAGCAATTCTGAGAGAGAAAGATGAGGCAGTCTGCTACTGTTAAGATTAACCATCAAGAATACAAGAGGAAATTGACTAGACAGTAGTAGATTTGGCTTTGGTTTTGGTAAGGAGTCCTGGCAGCACAGTGATAAAATGCTTGCCTGCTAACCAAAAAGTGGACAGTTTGATCCCACTAGCAACTTTGGTTGAGAAAGGCATGAAATTCAGCTTCTAAAAAAAATTAATAATTATGGAGACAGTTTTATTTTGTTCTACTGGGATCCTACAAGTCAAAATTTGACTCAATGGTAATGAAATTTGTGTTGCTTTGTGAGGGGAGAGGGGTTAGTTAGGTAAGACAGTATTTTATTAGTCAGTGAGTACTTGCTAAGTAGTTGTACTGTTAGCTTAAAGTTGGCTTTTCTAACAATTACATTAGACCCTTCTAGTCTCCATCTACCTTAACTGCAGACATGTAGTCTTGCAAATAATCAACAGCTGTAGAAATAGAATAAGAGAAAGAATGTTTTGACATTGAGCAGCACGACTTGAGGGAGAATGTAGCAAGACCCTGAAAGAGTGAGAACCTGGTGAGAGAGAAAGAGTCTGGTGATGGGGTGGACAGACTGTGGCAAGGTGTAACCAGAAGAGCCCTGAGATAAAGGACACAGGTAAAGATTTTGTTGTGCTTGTTGGATAATTGAAGGAGAAGCTAACTTGTAACTACTCTGAAGCAAACCTTGCTGGATAACTTGGATGTGTGCTACTGAACTGAACTGGAGCCTGGACTAATTGAAGAATTGTGCCTTGGGACTGCTGGACTAAAACTTTTATTTGTATTGGGTGATATTCTTTGCCTCTCCCACTCTGCCGTTCATTGTGGCTGATTGCCTTTGAGTTGGACATGACCTATAGAGACTCTTGGTTCATAGGAACAAAAGGCCTGAAGCCCCTCTACAACTATCGACATTTATCAAAGTTCATAGAGTTTCTGGAGGCATTTTATTTAGGAAGTGAATGCCACTCCTGCTTCCAAACCTGTCATAGTATGTTGTTACTGTTATGTGCCATTGACTTGCCTGTGATCCTAATAAACCCTACTCTCAGCACCAAAACTGTGAGTAAAGTCTGTGAGTCAACAACAAACATCGAATCCAGTGATTGGTGGAAATAGGTGCACGGACATGAAAGGTGGCATATCTGACATAGTAGCTATCTATTTGCTGGTATGGCTATTATTGATGGGGACAGTTCCCCTTTATGAAGTCGGCAGGAGTCAGAATTGGCCATTCTCACATTGCACTGGCTCTTTTGCAATAGTTTTTTTCCTTTTAATTCTGCGCTTCTTTCTATAAAATTTTATAGATATATGTCTTTCTCCCTAGATTTTACTAGGTAATAAGGAGTAAACCTTTCAAGTAACTGTCAGCAGCTCTTAAATGAATATTGCCATTGTAAAAATCACTTATCCATAAGTAATGTTGCATTGAAGATAAAATAAGAGATGACAGAGGAATTTTCCCTCAGTCTCCACCTGGCTCCCTCAGTCAGCAATTCTCTGGTTTTCTGCTCCCCTAAATAATACTTACTTCTCTGTGTGTCCCAGATGTAATTGTTCAGAACTTCTCCCAGCAGGTATAAGAAGTTCATCAGGATGGTTGTACAGCCAAAGAAGATAATTCTGGCTCCTGGGCCGATGTGTTCCAGGAAAGGGTACACCCACATCCCGGTGACATGATGCACCCAACACACCCTGTGAGAGAATTGAGAGGAGACAAGGATAGGAGGGTTACTTTCATATCAGATCTCAAAGTTACTCAAGTTATAAATATACATCGGCACTCACCGCATTCCTTAGCAGACCTGCCAGTCAGGCGTACCTCGGTTAACAGGAATTACCAGAAACAGATGCTGTTGTTTTTACTTTTAATCTGGAAATGACTTTAGGTTCATGGAAGGATTGCAACTCTCTAAAGAGAGTTCCCACCTGTCTTTCATTCAGCTTTTCCTAACGTTAACATCTCTAGAGTCATAAAGCAGTTGCTATAATGATGATATCAACATTGGAGTGACTTGATGAGAATTTAGATAGTGAAGCACTTGGATACTAAGTAAAAGGTTGGCAATCAAATCCATGAAGAGGTGCTAAAAGCTTATGTTGTTACGTGCCATTGAGTTAACCGTGACTTAGAGTGAACCTAGGAACAAAAGACTGAATCTTTGCTCAATCCTGTCCCATCTTCACAATCTCCACCACACTCAGATCCACTGTTTCAGTCCACCCATTTCGTGTCTACAAGTTGCAGTTCTCCTCTCAACTACATACGTTTTCTATGACTTAGAATGTTGTTGTTGTTAAGTGCCGTCGAGTCGCAGGCGACTCATAGCGACACTATGAAGGAGAGTCCTTGATGCTTGACTTAGAATAGAATTGATAATAAGAGTGCATTTTTTTTTAAAAAAAGTACTAAAAATCCATTGCTGTTGAAGTGATCATTTTTAGTAATCTTACTTGGCATCCACTTCCTAAACAACATGCCTCTGGAAAGTCTATGAACTTTGATAAATGATGACAGTTATAGAAAGGTTTCAGGCCTTTTGTTCATAGGGACGCTATGAATCATGCTCAACTCGACGACAGTCAACAACGTAACAACTTAACTAAGCTATAGATTTTATTTGCATTTCCTAGCTTTTCTATTACTGTCTTTTGCTTGTTGCAGGACTCAATCCAAGATTGCACATTGCATTTGGCTGGTCTCTTTTGTCTCTCCAATCCAGGTAGTTCCTCAGTATTTCCTTGTCTTTTGGGACATTTGATGAGTTCTGGTAATTTGAACTTACTGTGTTGTTTTTACACTGATACACAATCTTCTTATTCTTTTTTTTACAAAATACAACCATATACTATTGGGCAACCAAATTATCGTAAAACAAACATTCGTGACTATGTGCCAGAATCCTGGACCACTGCCCTCAACTAGATGTATTCCATATACCAGCAGAGCCCTTCCTGGAAGCCACTGATATCTAGCCTCCCACTCCTTTGAGCTTTTTTTCCACGGTTCATTCTTTCTTTCTACATTACATTGTTGTTGTTGTTGTTGTTATGTGCCATCGAGTCACCTGTGACTCATAGCGACCCTATGTACAACAGCCCTAAACTCCGCTCTGTCCTGTGCCAATCATACCGTCTCTGACACTCCCATCCCAATTATCCCAGTCACTGAATCAATCCACCTCATAGAGGGCCTTCCTCTCCTGCGCTGTCCCTCCACCCTCCCAAGCATAATGTCCTTCTCCAAGGACCGGTCTCTCCTCACTACATGTCCAAAGTATGTTAGACGGAGCCTCAGAATCCTTGCCTCCAAGGAGCTACCCGGTTTAACCCTTTCCAGGATGAATCTGTTTGTTTTCCTAGCAGTCCATGGTATTCTCAATACTCTTCTCCAGCACCACAGCTCAAAGGCATCAATTCTCCTTCTATCCTCCTTGGTCATTGTCCAACTCTCTGATGCATAACAAGTGATTGTGAAGACCATGGCCTGTATCAGACGCACCTTAGTCTCCAGAGAGACACCATTGCTATTCAGTACTTTGGAGAGGTCCCTAACAGCAGACTTTCCCATGGCAATGCGCCTTTTAATTTCCTGGCTGCTGGTGCCAAGACTGTTGACTATGGAGCCAAGCAAACTAAAGCTGTGTACAATCTCAATCTCTTCACCATCCATCTTGATGCTGCCAATTGGTCCAGTGGTGAGAATCTTTGTCTTCTTGACATTGAGCCTCAATCCATATTGTAGGCTGCAGTCCTTGACACTCTGCAGCAGGTGCTTCAGGTCCTCCTCAGTTTCAGCAAGCAGGGTTGTGTCATCCGCATAACGCAGATTGTTGATAAATCATCCACCAATTTGACCCCACATTCCCACATTTCTCCTCATAGAGCCCAGCCTCCTGGATAATCTGTTCTGCATATAGGTTGAAAAGGTATGGAGATAGGATGCATCCCTGGTGTACGCCCTTCCCTATTTTGAACCATGCAGTGTTCCCTTGCTCTGTTCTGACGACTGCCTCCTGGTCCAAGTATAAGTTTTGCATTAGAACGATCAAGTGTTCTGGGATTCCCATTCTTCTCAGTCAGCCATAGTTTGTTATGATCCACACAGTCAAATGCCTTTGCATAGTCAATGAAACACAGACAGACATTCCTCTGGTATTTCCTGTTTTCAGCCAAGGTCCATCTAACATCAGCTACAATATCTCTAGTACCACGACCCCTTGTAAGCCCAGCCTGGACTTCTGGTAGTTCTCTGTTGATGTGCTGTTCCAGTCGTTTTTGGATAATCTTCAGTAAAATCTTGCTTGTATGTGAAATCAGTGAGATTGTTCTGTAGTTTTCACATTCTGTTGGGTCACCTTTCTTTGGGATAGGAACAAATATAGACCTCTTCCAGTCAGTTGGCCAAGTGGTTGTTCTCCAGATTTCTTGGCACAACTTGGTGAGCACGTCCAGGGCAGCATCTGTTAACTGAAATATGTCAATTGGTATACCATCTATTCCTGGAGCCTTTTTTTTTGGCCATTTCCTTCAAAGCAGCCTGAACTTCTTCTTTCATCACCATAGGCTCTTGCTCATATGTTGTTTCATGAAATTCTTCTGTGTTATTTGTAATTATTCTGCTTGTGTTCTGGAGACATTTTGGGTTCAGTGAGAATAAGCAACATTATTAATCTGCACTGTTCTCAAAAGTTTAGTTAGAATATTTGCTCCACTGTCTTGATCCTAATACAACTGCTAACAGCTGTCTTCCAAAATTCTCAGGCTCATTGATTTATCAAATGCTATCAGTTTCAAAGACTAAGTAAAATGCAAGTGACTTTATCACACTAGGAATAATGATTAGCATTTCCACATAATGTATTTTAGGGCCTTTTTTCTTCTTCTCCATGGCTGGAACAGTTTTTTAAGCAGTTTATCTACATATATAGAAAGTCTGACGGCACAAGAGTTAAGAGCTTGACTGCTAAATGAAGGGCTGGCAGTGTGAATTCACCAGTGACCCCACAGGAAAAATCTGGGGTTATTTGCTTCCCAAAATATTACAGCTTAAAATCAGGCTGTTGAACCAGAAGAGTTTATGGGAAACTTCTACTCAGTCTTACAGGATTGTTAATAGTCTGTATCAACTCAATGGCACCTTAAAAAAAAACAACTCATGCAAGTTTATGCCTGTAAGAGTAGAATTGTGCGCCACAGGGATTTCAATGACTTTCCATTCTAGTTCATCAGGTTTTTCTTCCAAGGTGTTTCTGGGTGGACCTGAACCTTCTACCTTTATGTTAGCTGCCTAGTCTGCTATTCTCATCACTAAAGGAGGCAGAGGTAAGATTATATGGGATCATCATGATTGGAGACAACTTAATCAGGCACACTAGTCACTGTTACTGATGTGATTCTAACTTAGTGCTAAGCAACTGTGCTGTTAGCATGAAGGTACACAGTTTGAATCCACCAGCTGCTCTGCTGGAGAAAGACAGACAATCTCCTCCCATGATATTTACTGCCCCTGAAAACTTGCTGGAGGATCAGCTATGGTTCGGCTCCAACTTGATGGTACACAACAAGATATGAGGCTGTAAATCTTAAGTAGAGGAGACCACCTCTCTTCAGTGGAGTGGCAGGTGGATTTGAACGGCTTACCTTCAGATTAGCAGCACAGCATGTTACACATTAAACCATCAGAACTCATTAACTAGATGAAGGGAAGGCACCCCTCCAGGAGAATATTGGTTTTGGGGGGAGGGATGAAAAAAGTTTCACTCATTTGTTGGAAAAACACATACACATAAACACACTATATAATCAGACATACAGTGTATGTGTGGCATCAAGGTTTCAGAAAGTGCAGAGATGAGGAAAACCACACCTAAAAATGCTGCTTGGTAGGGAAAGCCACAGTCAAAGAAAAGTTGAGGAAATCTTGCCCCACAGTGAAGAAGCACTCATGAAATACTCAGGTTGGTTTATTTATATTTAGCCAGCTGGACTCAGTTTAGATGATCCCAATTTTGTTGGCAACATCCAAAGCATCAGAGTCAGGAGCAAGTCGAACATAGGCCTCCTTCTCTCCATCAGGACTAATCAAGGTGTTGGCCTTGACCACATCAATGTCAAAGAGCTTCTTTATAGTTTGTTCAATTTGATGCTTGTTGGCTTTGACATTCACAGTGAACACAAGTGTGTTGTTATCTTCTATCTTCATGACTGACTCTGTGGTCAGAGGAACCTTGATAGGGGTCAGGCTTGTGTCTTCTGGGGGTGCTCTTCCAAGGATATTTCAGCTGCCTTTGTAGTCTCAGCCCCTAGGGCACTGGTAGGTGGGTGATGTGTGGATTTTTTTTTTTTTTGGTGCCTGTGAAAGCCCTTCAGAACTGCCTTCTTGGCCTTAAGTGCTTTTGGTTTGACTTCAGTTTTAGGAAGACAGGGGCTTCCTTCTTCGTTTTCAGTGCCATCTTCATAGAAAGGGTCAAAAGTAACCTTCTAGCTAAAAGATTTTTACACTAAGAGGAGGCTAAACTTGTCAAGATACTGTGTTTCATTTTAAGATATTTTTAAAATATGAAAGCATTTGTGAGAAAGAGAAGAAATTAAATTATTAAATTAGGATAAATAACCTATAGGATTCTGATATAACATACTCCACTTGTTCATAAATTGGAGACAGGTTTAGCTCCATAATTGTAACTAGTGTA